GTCAGATTGGAATTGATCGATGAGTTGATACGAGCATGTATTCGACAACGTGGAGACTTTGATGTTTAGTTGACTTCAGTCCATGAATTCAATGATCAAAATAGGAATGAGGATGGCATGTGACGACGGTTACAGGTAGTTACACGTTGTGTTTGAATTAGGGACAATTTTCAGCCCTGTGGGGCTGAAAATCCTTGAAAATAATAAATCGTGTTGTTAAGGGGAAAAAATTTGTTCTGTATTTATACTCCATTTCCTAATCTTATAAATATTTAAATAAATTACCTGAAATGTCCACTTTGCACTTGAAACCTTTCAAAATATTTCAGGAAGAGAAATCGAGCTTAGATTGCAACTATTAAGAAGGTTAAGACAAGATCAAAATTGTTCGTGAAAACTTAGTTCATCATGGTGTGAAAACTTAATTATCTACATTCCTTTTGTGTCGACCAGCTTTCTAGAACGCTCGACTTGTAGTCGCAGATTGCTCAACTCACAACCAGCCATCTAAAAACAGAAAAAAATGAAACCGAGGCATTGGAGTAAGCTTGGTAACCTTAAGCGACATCTCCCCTATTACCATATATCGAATCACGCTTGATGATTAATTCATCGAGACAAAAGACCATGTAAGAGCACTTCTTCACAAAATGTAATTAACAGACAATGACCTAATTCTTTATGAGCATCCTAGAAATACACAGTTGTTCTTTAAAATGAATAGATACTATATGTAAGATCCTGTTTGGAGAAAAGCTACGGCCCAATTAAGACAGAAATGCGCAGCTCGCACCAATAAGAGACCTTCTGAGTCTCGTAAATCGTTCAAGAATTGGCATGTCAATGAACAAGGATGCAGGGAGAAAAATTGTCCACCCTTTTGCTGCTGCTTGTGTATTTACCAATATTTTTACTGGGAGCCTCTTGTTTTCCTAAATTGCTGGACTCACAGTGCATTTTTTTGCTTTCAGGTCCCGGGAAATGTGCTACTTGTACTTGATAGGATGATGAATGCACAAACCACTGAAAGTGAAAACACAGAAACCCATGTATTTTCTGTGTACATCTCCATGGCATCGGTAAATGAAAATCTGGTTCGACTTTCAGCCCAGTTGCGAAGTCTATCTGCCTCTGCAGCGTAAAGTGCTCGTCCCTGAAAGATTTATTGTAATTAACCACTTTATTTCACACCATACAGACAAAAAACATAGAGAAACCAATAATGAGAACTCAATGTTGTACATATGAAAAAGGACAGTCATTTTTCACCAATATATGCCGAGGAAGTATATAAATAAAAATGAATCTATAAAGAAAAAGGAATACCTGATCATCAAACCAACGGCCACGTCTCACCCATGCTGTGACCAGAGCAAGTAAGATCCGTGGAGGAGTCAAATAGCTAATGGCCTTCCCACTTCCCTTTACAATTCGCATTCGAGGAACTAAAGTTCTAGCAACTGTCTCTGGAAGCTCGCAGATGATATTAAACATCTGTTTGTTTTGTACACTCGAACCACTGCCATGAAAACATGAAGGGCGCTTCTTCAATAAAGCAAAAAAACCATAGGAAAACTCAGTTTCGAAAGAGAACCTTTCAAAGAATAAGTACTTCACAAAACTGAACCTTACAGTATGCAGATCGGAGCAACTTGAACAAGAATGTGTATGGTGCATGGTTTTAAATGGGAATTGATACACAAAAGTTATACTTATTTTTAATTTTTAATATTATCGAGTACCACAGAGTTCACCTTACAGAATGAGCCATAAAAGCTATTGGCATACCTTAATAGCAAGTCAGTCAGGACCATGCCCGGTGAGGCTGTATGAACTCCAACTTTTGACCGCCGGCTCTCCTTTAGAAGAGACGACTGAAGCTGCCTAAGACCGCATTTTGTTGAGCCATAGCTATATGAGAAGGTTACAAAGAAATCAAAGCATCAGGCATGAGTGTCCAGTTTCTGCACAATATAAGAACACAGTCTATTCTACTAGAATTGAACTTACACAGCTGTCAATGGGGTGCTAGATCCTCCAGATCCTGCACCATCCATGTTGAATATATGACCACCCTTATTCTGGGTGCTCATAATCTTCATTGCTTCACGAGTGCATAGGATGGATCCAACCAAGTTAGTAGACACAATCTGTCCGAGAAATAAAGAAAATCCATGTATCTTAATATTATGCAGAAGACAAAAGATTCTTGTGGAATGTAATGTACACAAACTAGGCAGCAAACATAGAAGATTCTAAACTTAATTTCATCAAAGAGCAGACCTGTTGGATATCATCATCATCAAATTGCAGCAATGGTCTGAAACCTTTGTTCGTCCCAGCATTGTTGACCTGTGGAATAATAATACTCAAAATCACATAATGAAATAAGATGAGTCTTTTTTCTTTTAATACGAATGCTCTGTCAATAAAAGACTCCATCTAAGATTAAATAGAGGAAACAAAGACAGAAGCCCAGATTTTCACAACTAATAACCAAGGAAGTTATCGTCGTTTATTATTATTTCAAGAACACCCATAGTTTTTAAATCAAAGTCACAATAATCATAACCCTATTAATTGCAGTCCCATTTTTCTCAAATTTGCACTTCAAAATTGGCAAAGAAAGGATAAACCAAGACCTTGCTAGCAAATGGGATAAATTCTTCAAACGAGAAATATGAAAAGCATATTGTTTACCCAAATATCAATAGAGCCAAGTTCATTGACAGCAAAGTTTGCCAACTTCTGCACATCTTCAGGTTTAGAAACATCACATGTGATTCCCGTCACTTTTGCATGCCTCAAATTTGTTTTGGATGAGCCAGCTGTGGCGATCTTAACTTGATTTAAATTTTCTTCTAATTCTTTGGCAGTTGTGTCCACGGATTCAGGGCTGCCTTCAGAAGAACCACAGATTAATAAAAATAGATATACAAACAAGCTAAACATATTAATGATTTACAATGTTAATTTCAAAATCACCTGCGTGAAGTAATTACAACCCTGTCACCGGAAAGCAAAAATTCACGAGCAAGCGCTTTCCCAAGTCCTCGTGTACTGCCCCCAACAATTAGTTAACAGTGAAATAATACATCAACAGAAATCCATCTGGTTAACATGCGATAAATTGATAGCTACTTAACGGATAGAAACATCCAAGGAAACAAAAAAAAAAAAAAAAAAAAAAAAAACAC